TTGGACGAAAGCTAGTTTATTCAGGCGTAGTGCATAGCAGTTACAGACAAAGCCAGGATTGGCTTGGCACGGTTTCTTACAGCAGTTTTATAGGGTTCCGCCCTTGACCCGTAGTTACCCCTCGGTTCCGCCCCTTGTCCTTTCCCTGGGCTACCCATCTGTCCGTTGCGATCTTCCTTCCCCTCGCCTTGATGGCAGATTCAGCCAGTTTCTATTGTGTTATGATCTTCGTCCTTTGTCTGACTTGCCCTCGCATTCCTTGAGCCTTTCTCATGTTGAGTTGGTGTGGCTGTTTTAATCTGGTTTTGAATTACCCGCCGATTGCCTCTGGATTGCTGCGCTCCCGGTGTATTGCAAGCCGGAGTTGCCCGGGGCGCCTGGGGAGCCGGCTGTGCTCCAGTGTTGCCACTTCTGATTGGCTCCCTGCTGCGAGTTAACTGCCCACCCCCTGACGGCAGTTAACTTGCGGTTACATTGTTTCCTTGCCCTATTGCCTGAGGCGGTGAAACTGACCAATGGCTCTGCGCTGCAGTATGTGCTTCCTAGGCTGAAGCTGACAGTCTTGCTCCTTTGCCAACCTGAAGTCAGTCTGTTCTGCCATGTTCAGTCTGTACTGTGACCTGTGTATAGGTTTCACATGAGGACAATGAGATGTTCTGGGATTCCCATTTTTCTAAGTCTGTTAAATTCCATAGCTTGACATGATTGACACAATCAAAGACTTTTATATAATCAGTAAACTCAACTTTTTACTTTCCCCTAATTTCAAAAACATTTAACATTATAGGGCACTTTTCCCATCACTTTCCACTACTCCTTACCTTAAAAAGTCTTCCCTGACGGTTAGTGTTTAGTAAAAAAATAAATGCATAGTTACAGGATGGGGAATACCTGACTTGGAAATGTAGTTGATTGCAGTTGAATATGAACCAGCACTATGACTTAATTGGGAAAAAAAGTGAATGAGAGAAAGCTAGGATACTCTGCTCTACTTCTTCATTCCATCTGAATCAGAAGTGCTTGAGATAGGCATGAGAGCCAATAAACTGAAACTATTCTGCCAAGGTAGGTTCAGTCAACAGATAATCCTAGGGTCTGTCTGCTGACCTTGTTTGTGCAAAAAAATTGCTTGGTTTCAGTAATCTGTTCCCTGACAATGTCAGTTTGAGTTATAGCAATGCAGTTAACCTGTTGTTAGCCCGTGAAGATGGTTTGGAAGATTGAAATGGTACAGAATGCAATTGCTAGATCATTAAATTGAACAATATGAGACACTGATCCTCAAAAGCACTGTCTTGGTTGCCTGGGAATTTCCAGACTCAGTAATGAGATACTTGTGTACAAAGTCCTAGGATCCTATTTTTAGGAGAGCCCGCCAAGTCTCAGGCTATGAGATCAACAAGGGAAGCTTTGTGAGTCCACCAGAAGACATTGTCCCCAACACAATGTCTCAAAATTGGGTTTCCTTGATGGTGTGACATTTTAGATAACCAAAAGCTTGTTTGTCTCCCTGGGGTTTTGGGATGTCATCTGGCTCACTTGAAATGTATTTTCTTTTTATTTTATCTGTCTTATAGGCTGGATGTTGCATAGCAATGATCCATTTGTTACTGTGCTGTGTATTGTCCTAACATCCAATGGGAGAAAGGGACATATATACATAAAATACAACAATAAATCAGTACCAGATGGACTTAAAATCTGATCCATTCACTTCAAAATGGTAATTGCAACGCCAAAAGATTCAACTGAAAGCCAGGTTGGTGTAATGGTTAAGCACCAGGCTAGCAACCCGGAGCCTGTGAGTTCTAGTCCCACCTTGGGCACAAAGCCAGCAGGCCAGTCCCTCTCTCTCAGCTCTAGGAAGCAGGCATGGGCAAGCCACTTCCGAAAAGCCTTGCCAAGACGACTGCCCAGGCATTGACCTGAAGGCACAACAACATCACTCAACTGCATCATCTTTAAAATGATATAATTTTAAAAGGATGTGATGGGGAGAAGCAGGTAGTTCATATTTTGAACTAAGTCATAGTTTGCTTAGTAACTGTTGATTGAATAAACCACACCTGGCTGAGTTCACCCATGAACTCATGAGTTCATGCATGAAGCCAGTCAGTATTTGCCTCTTCCTTCCCCTGCTCATCAGCCTGACTTCTTTTTCTTAGCTTCTGCTAAAGTCGAGTGATTGTTCCATTGGCCCCACTGAATACACATTGCCCTGAGAGACTGAATTCCTGAAACCAAAGGGATTTCTGCTGATTATAACCATTATTCTCTCATTTATACACTGTATTTCCTACCAAAGTGCAAAGCCTAGGGAGGAGGATATTGATATGAAAAATAAACCATGTCCAAAACAATGTTAAGCTTACATGTTTTGACTGGATTTTATTGTTGAAACAAACAACTGTTATTTATAACTGCAAGTTATGGCATCTTTTCATTCTCCATCTCATAGTCTCTTACGTGCACACATGGAACAGCCAACAGCTGTGAGCCAATATGTAGATGTTCTTGTCCTCAGGGTAGGCATTCTACCAAACTCATGAACATTTGTTCATACAAAAGTAATCTATTAGGAAAAACATTAGTATGCCTAGGAAATGGTGATAATATTTGGATGAATTTATAAATCATAGGATTTTCTAAAAAATGTTGTTGCTATGTTAATTTTTCAGCCAGAGTACTATCCCATGCTCTTAAATGCCACTGTAACACAAAGAACAGTATATATTGCTTTTCCAGTGTTTTTAGCCAACAAAAGGAGTTGAAATGATTTCTTATATTGCATCATGGACAATGTTCTTACACTGTCCATGATGCAATATACACAGGTGCTGATGTGCATCACCAGCATTTTTTTTTTTTTTGAAATTACCTTATCTGAAAAAGTAGTCCATAGTCCCAAGGAAAGTGTGTAATGACCAAGGACAATAAAAACATATTGAAAGAACCAGGAAAGGGAAGCTTAAATTTGAAGAAGTGAAGATTGAAGCAGTTTTAGTGCAAGCATGTCTCTAGTATGATTGATGTCAGTTCAGACAATGAGAACAACTTCTCAGTGTGTTCTCTTGACTTTAGCAAAATATTTGTTAGCTAAAGAATATGCATATAGTTTTTTCTCTGGGTAGCAGAATGTTTTCTACTATTAGACACTGTCTCTAAAAATACTTTTGCCAGAATCCAGATCTCTACCGAAGAAACAGCAAAGTAGCCCTTCAATATAGCTTGGAGGTTGGAGACCTTGGGGTTCATCTTCATTGATGTTATCTTGGGCCTTCGAGTATTAAAAAAGTTTAAACAATGCCTTCACTGTGTTTGCTTCGCCACACTACCAACACCATCATGAGTAGGGTGATAAAAATAGGTACAACAATGAATGGACACAAAATGGCATTAGGAGGGTCTCCTAAAGCCCTTCCTGAAACAGGGCAGTTTTTGAAGTAATGCCTATGAATTGTTATGAAGAACTGATCCACCAGTTGGTTTGGCCAGTAACAATCCAGTTTCTCAGCTATCAGGATGGTGCAATTGGTAAGCTCCTTGTAACAGCTGCAAAAGAGACAAGGACGCTTGTTAAGAAATGTCACTCAGTCCTTAAGGGCAACTGCATATGTTACACAGAGGCAAAGCCTGAATGCCAGCAGTTATTGTTTCAGGGTCAAAATATCATCAATAGATCTCTAAATGTGTTAAACAGGTAACAATTCTCCCAAAGTGACTTATGAGTAGTACAAACAGTTGTAAATACAAACGATTAAAAGCCAAACGCATTTCTAGAATCCTTCCCACCAGGAAACTAGTAGCCCTGGCCCTGGGGGGGTGGGGGGGAGAGGAGGCAGCATTCCAAGTGAGCAAGCTTCTAGTCCTTGCCTGCTTCCCTCCACCTCTCTTTGGGGATCATTCCCACAGGGCAGATTTAAGAATATTCAAAATACTGGGTATTTCAATTAAACCTAAATTCCAACTAAGTAATAGTACTTTGCCTTTAGGATTTCTTAAAAGTCACAATTGCAAGATATATTTGACCTTGTTGCAAAGGAAAGCAATGAGGTCAAGTATTGGGAAATTGTCCTCATAGTAAGAGCACAATCAATTACCCTTTATTGAATGTGCTCAAGCAAAGGCTAGGCATCACTTTGTCTGGGATGTGCTAATTTGGATTCATTCGCTGGGCGTGGGTGGGTGTTGGACCTGATGGCCCAAATTGTTCCCTCCATCTTTATGTTTGTTAAACATATTGTTTGTGAGAGTAGCCCTTTCCCAGCCTACATGCTGGATGGGTTCAGGCATATCCAAAACACAAGTTTCTCTACAGCAGAGACTTGGCTTGTAATCCAAAAGGAGATTTGCCCCGGCCCTTCCTTCTCCTAGAGAAAAAGGCTTTGCTTTTTGGGGACCGCATCCCAACTTCTGTGGAAAACGGAGCAAGGAGCTGTGTGCTAAGATGATATAAGGTATTATATGGTTTTGTTTTGTTTTTTTATTTATTGTGTGTTTATGCTGTACGCCGTCCAGAGTCATAGAGTTGGATGGCCTTGTAAGTCTTATAAACAAATAAATAAATAAAGGAAAGGTGAGCTACCAACATTCTCTTCCAGCCTCTGATTAAAAAGGGATTTTGCGGGGGGCAGGGGTATTTCTGAGTTCTAACAACTGAATTCAAAAGGGAATTTAATTAAAGGACAATATACAGTGGTACCTCTACTTACGAACTTAATCCGTTCTGTGACTCTGATCGCAAGTCGAGTTGGTCGGAGGTCGAGGTAAATTTTCCCATAAGGTTCAATGTAAATACGGTTAATCTGTTCCGCCCTCCGAATTTGGTTGCACCCTGAAGCAAATTTTCCCATAAGGTTCAATGTAAATACGGTTAATCTGTTCCGCCCTCCGAATTTGGTTGCACCCTGAAGCAAATTTTCCCATAAGGTTCAATGTAAATACGGTTAATCTGTTCCGCCCTCCGAATTTGGTTGCACCCTGAAGCAAATTTTCCCATAAGGTTCAATGTAAATACGGTTAATCTGTTCCGCCCTCCGAATTTGGTTGCACCCTGAAGCAAATTTTCCCATAAGGTTCAATGTAATTACCGTTAAGCCGTTCTGGTGCCCGTGCGCCGCGCGTCAGGGGTGGCAAAGTGCCCGTGCGCTGCGCCTTGGGGGCAGAAAAGCGCCCGCACGCTGTGCAGCAGGGCAGAAAAGCGCCCGCGCGCCGTGCGTTGGGCACGGCAGGGCGGCAAAATGCCCGCGTGCCGTGCGTCAGGGCACGGCAGGGCGGCAAAATGCCCGCGCACTGCGCGGCGGGGCAGCAAAACGCCCATGCGCCGCGCGGCAAAACGCCCGTGCACCGTGTGTCGGGGTGGAAAAGCGCCCGCGCGCTGCGTGGCAAGGAGGCAAAATGCCTGCGCGTCAGGGGTGGCAAAGTGCCCGTGCGCTGCGCCTTGGGGGCAGAAAAGCGCCCGCACGCTGTGCAGCGGGGCAGAAAAGTGCCCATGCGCCGCGCGTCAGGGGCAGAAAAGCGCCCGCGGACCACGTGTCAGGGGTGGAAAAATGGCCATAGACCACGTGTCAGGACGGAAAAAGGGCCGCGGACCACGTGTCAGGGTGGAAAAATGGCCATACCTCGAGGCGGAGTTCGCACATCGAGGTAAATTTTTGGGGCTGTAGCTGGTCGTATCTTGAAAATTTCATAAGTAGGGGCGTTCGTAAGTAGAGGTACCACTGTATTCTAGAGGAATAGGAAAAGGTTAGTCGAAATACGAAGATAAATTTTTATTTTGTCTTTGAGTGTTTAAATCTAATATTTTGTCTCTAGTATTTCTTGTCTTTATATAAGCTTAATGTGTAGTTGTGCTTTTGCAACCTGGAACTTCACAGCAGAGTCATCTTTATAGAGGGAACAGACCGGCATCATCTTGTGGTTTGCCACAGTTATATATTTTATATATACAGTGGTACCTCTACTTACAAACGCCCCTATTTACGAAATTTTCGAGATATGACCAGCTCCGGCCCCGTTTGCCACAGTTATATATTTTATATATACAGTGGTACCTCTACTTACAAACGCCCCTATTTACGAAATTTTCGAGATATGACCAGCTCCGGCCCCAAAAATTTACCTCGATGTACGAACTCTGCCTCGAGATACGGCCATTTTTCCACCCTGACACGTGGTCCGTGGCCATTTTTCCGCCCCTGACACGTGGTCTGCGGGCATTTTGCCACCCCGCTGTGGCCGTGACGTGCGGCGCACGGGCGCTTTTCTGCCCGACGCGTGGTGTGAGGGTGTTTTGCTGCCCCGTCATGTGGCGTGCGGGCGCTTTGCCACCCCTGACGCGTGGTGTGCAGGCGCCAGAACAGATTAACGGTAATTACATTGAACCTTATGGGAAAATTTGCTTCAGGGTGCGACCAAATTCGGAGGGCGGAACGGATTAACCGTATTTTCATTGAAACTTATGGGAAAATTTACCTTGACCTGCGACCAACTCGACTTGTGATCAGAGTCACGGAACGGATTAAGTTCGTAAGTAGAGATACCACTCTATATTTATATTTTTATCTCCTTTGCTACTGACAGTTTTTGCCAAAATGAGATTTTTATATTCTGCGTTTGTTTTTTTGGGGGTAAATGTAACTTTCTCCCCACGAGGAAGGGGGAGGAGAAGGGGCTGATTCTGTTAGTCACACACAACACTATAGGGTCAGAGGCACATTTTCTCCACATTTTTTCCCTTTCCACTGGCCAGAAAAGCAACATGGTTGAGACAGCCCTGTCTCTTACGCATCAGGCTGAGAGGGAGGATGCCAAGTGAAGTTCCCACTGGAAGACAGGCGATGGCAGCAGGAACTACCAAACCAAGGCAGGATGTGGAGCTAGAGAGAGAGTCTTCTGGAAAATAATGTTTTAGGCCTCCAGCCTTTCACTCCATGGACTCAGCCATATTACTACACACGTGCACAGGACTAATAAATGCAATATAAAAATACTTTTTCATTGGACATTTTGATACATTTATATTTCTACTGAGCACATAGAAATTGTTGACATTTGCAATGTTTATTCTCTTGAAGTAACCTAAAAACAAAAAGATATACCATAAATGTGTGCAATGGGACTTGGTTGTGCCTCGACAATGGAGGCATTGTGATTTTTATTCAGGTGAAGCGGCAGTGTGATTCTTCTTGACCAGGGGTAATGTACTGCCTCAAAATCTCAGGCAGCAGTTCCAGTGGCCAGAAGTTTTAACTGTAAGTCTGGCTACTCACACTGCTTGATGAGATCTTGAAGCAAAGCAATTCCTTCCTATTAAAAGTGGGATGGGGGGCTGCTTTGGAAAACAGCTTCAAAATCAAGGATTCTTGCCTAGTAAATAACTGAGAGTTGGCAGCTCTGCATCCAGCAGAGCCAGTGTCCTTTATCATGTAAACAAACTCACAGTAACAGAAAAACAAGGGAAATGCATTGGCTCCTCCATCAGCTACATATGAAATAGTTGAAGAAAATCCAGGAAGTTAATTTACATAGTAACTAAACAAATCATATGTAATCAGGAGGAAGACACATCAACAATAGCAATGTTCACTGAAATAACAATAGTGAAAACCACATTCAGGAGAAACACTCAGCACCAGTAGTTAGTAGAAAGTTGATAGACAATGACAAATAGAGTGGGTGATGCATATACTGGTGTGTGTTGTGAACAGAATGCATGTTTTGGTGGTTATATGTATGTGTCGGTTCTGGGGCAGGGGCATATGTCTATGTATATGGGGAAAGAGGGTTGGGACAGCACATATGCAACCTGTTTTGCACAAGCATGCTGATAAATAAGTAAATATACCCTGAAATTATGACCCAAAAGAGGCTTGATACCAAAACAGTTTTCTATCTATGCTATAAATTAATTGGAACTTGACTGTCAAAAGTTGTTAACATTTTAAAATGTGAAGCATGTATAAATCAATGTATTAGATCATTAAGGTATTTGGGATTGTCAAGCGTGTGTGTAGGGAACTTCTGCTATCCATTTGCTTATCTTCAGGGTAGACCAGGTCAGGAAAGAGGCAGCACAGGAAATGCCTTATTGATATAGGCCGTAACAGCAAATCTTGACAGCATTTCTCCTTCCCTCCTTATAGCAAAGAGAGGCCAGGTGAGACAGTCTTGAGTGTCCATCTCATGTGTTCCTGTTTTCCTGGGCTAAGTTCAGGTTTTCCTAAAAGCTGATGCATATTTTCTTCAAGGCAATCTCCACACTCCTCTACATCATTCCTCCTGCAGATGAGATGATGTTACTGGGTGTCCCAAATAAAGTACTTTTCTCCTTGTGTCTCTATTACAGCTCTCAATCATTGTCATGTCTCCCCCCAACCTCTTCCTTGTTGGAAAATCAAAGGGAGAATACAGCCATGCATGATTCCATCACCATTGCTTTATCCTATTCCTGGCTCAGATGAATTTACTTCTGTTAGTTCTGAAGAGAACTTGGCTGGACTCTTTCCTTCTCCTTCCCCACGGAGCCTGTGCTATGTCTTTCCTGTAGGAAG